AACAACAAGAAGAAAGCCAATGACAAAAAAGGAAAAGCCTATAAATAGTTCCAGGTGTTTTTTCTGACTTTTAGGAATCTTTCCCTGTCGAGTCAGATGAGGAGCCACACTCTGTCTCCAAAGTCTATTTTTGGTATTCCCTGGGGATGTCATAATTTTGCTCCTCTTGATGTTTCACCCCAGTGTGATGGGGTCAGATTGTGCACAATTTCTGCACTGTGTATCTGTAGTTTTCCTCATACAAATCTGTTGTTTTTCAGTCAGGTATACCCCTAGATATTTCAATTTGTGCTTGGCTATTGTAAAGGGTACTACCTTTTTAATCATGTCTTCCATGATCTTGTCTGATGTCTATAGCAATCTGATAGACTTCTATTTGTTCATCTTGTAGCCTGACACTCTGCCATATTCCTCTACTGCTTCCAACACTCCACTTGTTGAGTTTTGGGGATTTTCGATATATAAAATCTATCATCTGCGAATAATGATAGTTTTGCCTCTTCCTTCCCAGATGAATATCTTTGATGCTTTTTTTTCCCCTCCTTATGTTGTTAGCTAGGACCACCAGTCCGATGTTAAATAGGAGGGAGGACAGGGGTCATCCTTGTCTGGTTTGCTTTTTCATTGGGATTGTTTTCATCTTTTCTCTATTGATTACCACATTGGCTGTTGGTCTTTCATATATAACTTGTATAATATTGAGGAATTTTCCTCCCATTCCTATTTTCTTGAGTGTCTTAAACAGGAATTGTTTTTGATGTTGTTGAATGCTTTTCTGCATCTTTTGGTATTATTATACAGTTCTTATAATTTTTCATATCAATGTGGCAAATGATACTAGTGGTCTTTCATATGTTGAACCATTCCTGCATCCCTCATATGAATCCCACGTGGTCATAGTAAATTATTTGTTTTACATACGTTTATATTCTATTGGCCAGTCTTTTGTTAAAGATTTTTGCACCAGTGTTCATTAGGGGTATCAGTTTGTAGTTCTCGATTCTGTAGGATCCTTGTCCATTTTAGGTATCAGAGTTATACTAGCTTCATTGAAAGAGTTTGGGAGTTTTCCATCTTTTTCTATGTTCTGGAAGAGTTTGTGTGGGATTGGTGCCAGTTCTTCCCTGAATGCTTGGGAGAATTCTCCTGTGAAGCCATCTGGTCCAGGGGATTTTTTTGGTTGGTAATCCCTTGATAACCTTGTCGATTTCTTCTATTACTATGGGTCTGTTGAGATTCTTGATGTCCATCTGGCATAGTTTTTGGAGGGATTGTTTGTCCAAGTATTTCTCTATGTCTTCCAAGCTGTTGAATTCATTAGAGTACAGGCCTTCATAGTACTGTGTAATTATCTTTTTGATTTCCTTAGGGTTCATTGTAATATCTCCTGTTTCATCCCTCATTTTTACTATTGAAATTTGTTCCTGCCTTTCTTTGGTTAGGTTTGCCAGCGGTCTATCAATTCTGTTAATCCTTCCAACGAACCATCTTTTAGCTGTATTGTTTCCATAGTTTTCTTGTTTTCTCTCTCTTGCATTTCAGCCCTGATTTTTATTATTTCTTTGCTTTTGAATTTAGTAGGATTTCCCTGTTGACGCTGCTCTAATTGGTCTAAGTTTTGTCTCAGCACATCAACCATAAGTCTCTCTTCCTTTTTCATGTGTGCATGTATTCCTATCAAACTTCTTCTGATAAATGCTTTTGCTGTGTCCCAAAGCTTTTGGTATGTCATATTTTCATTGTCATTGATTTCTAGAAAATTCCTGATTTCATCTCTGATCTGGGCCAATATCTGCTCCTTTTGCAATAGAGTTATTCATCCTCCAATTGTTGGCCCTGGTTCTCTTAATCAACTTCTTAAAAATTCCAGCCTTCTGGCATAGTGGTTGGAGGGAGGTCTATATGATTAAAGCACATAGATGTGCTTTAATTTACGCAGGTTCGACTTGAGTCCCAGCGTGTGGTCTATCTTTGAGGATGTGCCATGTGGGTTTGAGAAGAATGTGAATATATTTGCATTTGGGTGGAAAGCTCTGAAAATATCTATCAAGTCATGTTGTCCAATTGTGCTGTTTAGATCTGTAGCTTCCTTGTTGAGTTTCCCTGTGAT